GCAGGGCACGCTGGGCGCTTCAAGACGCTGGAGCTGGTCTCTCGGAACTACTGGTGGCCCCAGCTTTCACGACACGTCGGCCAATACGTGGCCACCTGCGACCTGTGCTGTCAGACCAAGGCTCTCCGACGACTCCCCACTGGAGAGCTTCACCCCACAGAGATCCCCTCGGAACGTTGGGAATCGGTGTCGGTGGACTTTATTGTTGAGTTACCGGAGGCGCACGGCTACGACGCTATCATGGTGGTCGTTGACATGCTAGGGAAGCGTGCCCACTTCATCGAGTGCCACACTCGCCTCTCGGCCGAAGGGATGGCTCGGTTGTTCTACAAGCACGTCTGGCGACACCACGGGTTACCTATCAAGTATGTCTCCGACCGCGGCCCTCAGTTTGTGGCGGACTTCACCCGGGAGCTATGGAAGCTGGTTGGCGTTTCCCCTGCCACGTCCACTGCTTATCACCCGCAGACTGATGGCCAGACCGAGCGGTGAAATGCTGAGGGCGTGCTCACAAGTGAATCTACTATGAAAGTAAACCCAAATATAAACACGTTCACACTCCTCGTAATCAGCTTCTCAGTGTGTGAAAGATGCGAGGGCTTCGGGGTGGACAGAGCACCAGTATCACAACTCTCAATAGACGCAGATCCAATAGTCGCGGAGACGGAGTCGACGACAAGGATATATATATAGCAAACAATGGTATCTCAACCAATATCTTCTATACGAGCACAACCAACACTAATACAATCCACAACCAACGATATAACAAGTCAGAGCTTAATACGAAGTATTAAGATCCCTTGTAGCGACAGCGTCTAGATGGCGACGCAAAGCCCAAATATCAAGTCGACGCACTGCCAACCGATACAACCAATATACTGAGTCGACGCACTGCCAACTAGTAGAACCAAAATGTCAAGTTGACGCACTGCCAACTGACACAACCAAAAGTACTGAGTCGACGCACTGCCAACTAGTAAACCAAAATGCCGCGTCGACGCACTGCCAACTAACAGCCAATATCCAATGTCCAAAACCCGAGCACAACTTGTCGACGCACTGCCAAGCAAGAAGTGTGGAACCAAAGTTCTCAAGTCGACGCACTGCCAACTGACCAAAACAACCCGAGCACAACTAGTCGACGCACTGCCAAGCTAGAGGTGTGGAACGATCTCAACAAAGCCCGAAGGCGACGACACTAAATGCCGCGACTAAACCAGATGCGGCGAATCCGACTTTCTGATGTCTCAACTCAAACTCAAATCACAGTAGCTACAAGTGCTCAGGGAGCAACTCGTCGCGACCGGGCAGGGGTAGCAGAACTCCTTAGGGTGGAATCACGCGGCACGCAAATTGTACAAAACAATCTGAAATGAGAGTGATTCACAGTCCGGGGGAAAGCTTTTTAATACAAAGAAACGTCGTGCTACTTATACTGTCTACGACGATGCTTAGTAGAGTCCTGTACAACTGCATAGTAGCTACGCTATCTAAGATCGGTTGCCTTTTAGGGTAATTGAAAAGTTGAACGATCGGACAGGACCTGAGTGATCAGGACCCCGCCCCATAGTCCATATGATACTTTTGATGTGGGCCAACTCACCGCGTCATACTTTTGGAATACGACGTGCTGGATTGGCCAACGGGTATGTCTTGGCATGTGAGACCAACGTGGGCGCCCCAAGAAGCCGTATGGCTCTAGGCACGCCAATCGTCTCCCACATGGCTCGGTTCACGGATCTAGCCGTATCGATTTTAGTGTGTTTGAGTATGGACGCGACTCGCCGTGACACTTGGAAGTGTCACCGCGACGCGTCCACAATGTCCCGTGATCGAATGGATCCTGACATGTGACAAGTCGTCGTCGTGGCATGATCTGAGGAAACGTCCAACTCAAAACCGGGAGTTGCCGCGACAAGATGGTTTAAGTCTTGTAACGCCAAGTCCTGTCCAGTAGTAGTTCTATTATTGAGAACGTCGCGCATTGCTCAGCCCTTCAGCCCAAGTTCCCATCCGCAGAGAATGACCCTTTTGAGAAGTCGACGCAACGACATATCCCTTTTTGGGGAATGGTCGCGGTCCAAGCGTTCGTCACTAATGGCCCTGAGCCTGGTGTAGACTCGTAAGACCAGTTCCACAGTAGTGGTCTGACTGCCTTGCTATCGTCGACACTATCCACAGTCGTCGACTGGGCAGTAGACCCATAAGTCCTACTGAGCGCAACACTGTTAACCGCGACACGATACACCGAGTGGTTCAAGAGTAAACTCTGTAAAAAGCGCAAAAATACGCCCTTACAGAGCTGGTGCAGAGCGCGTCTGGTAGCCAGCCTATCATCTCCCAGGGACACTAATTTTGACCTCCTGGTCAATCCCACGACAGTCTCACTGCGTCAGGTCTAAGTCCAACAGTCGACGTCTCGTTTATTTATTATTAAAGCCGCGGAGACATAGAGTTATGTTCCCCCGTCTTATTCATTTGGTTGTTCGGTTCCTTCCGTGATCTGCCGCGATCAAACTTCTTCCGGCATGTTCACCATATAAATGCCCTCAATTTTCAGGGTCGAGAGTCTCCCTAGTACAAGACACTCTTGCCTTTTGACCACCATGTCCGCGCCCGACCAGAGCCCCCGCCCCCAAGACAACAACCGTGAGTGACGCCCAAGACGATTACCGCGACTTTTCAACCACGCTAACCGTCCATCAGCCGTCACCGAATCAGCTGTCCCGGGAGCAAACCTGCCTGCCATCGACTGGCGGCAGTTCATGCCGTCAGTCAAGGTCTCTCTCATGGCTTGTCGATCCAACTCACCACCTGCCTAGCCCCGAGGCTTACAACCAGATGTTGCGGCAGATGGCCGTCGACGTCCGCCAGATCCAACAGGTGAGCTCCGTTCTAAGCCCGCTGGAGCGAGCAGTCACGGCGATCAATGATTGCCGCGTCTGTTCGCTTTGGCCTTCCATTCTTTTCACTAACGTAAGGGCTAGCCGGCGCCTGCGCCCTTGACCACCAACGCTCCAGTCGAGGAGTCGTCGCCGCCGAAGAAACGCAAACGCGTCGTCGAACCCGTACATGCACTCTGTTCTGTTCGTTTAACTATGTTCTGATCGACTTCCAGGCGGCTCCAACCAAACAAGTCGCCGCTCCTTTGTCGTCCCGGCCTGCCAAGCAGAAGGGGAAGAGTGACGGCTCCAAGTCGCAGGCCCCTGCCGCCGTCGCGGGCAGCAAGGTCGCCGTCGCCCAGAAGTCGAGCGAGAAGTCGCACGGGAAGCGACCCAAGGCGACTCCTGCCAAGGAGCCCAAGGCGTCGTCCCATGCGCCTACTCGTAAGTGGCTCTTTCTTTTCATTCACCAGAGTCGCGGGGACTTATTTGTCGTAGCCGCTACCTCGGTCCCTGCTCCACAGGGATCACCTCCCAAGCGCGTCCACAAGAAGACGCACGCAGGTGTGTGCACCCTATGTCTTATTTCGTTGATCTTGAGGCTAACCACTTGAACCCTCCCAGCCCGGATCCAAGCACAGCCTGTGCAGCCCGAGTCCCTCAGCGATGAGGAAGCCGCCGCCGTCGCCGACACTGCGATGGATGTCGACGACGAGGGGGTTCAGGAGGGAGACGCGTCCTCGGCCGACGAGCTGGCCCTTCAGGTAAGTGACCCAGTTCGTCGATCGCGATTCCTTCGTCTCATGGTTGGTTTGTTTTTGACAGGGGCCCAAGTCCAAGGGGAAAGCGCGATCGAATCTGAGTACGTTTTTCCTCTTGTCCCCCCTTGTCGTTTACTCATACTTTCGTAGCCCCGTCCGTCATCGTCATGGACGACACCTCCGAGAGTGGAGAGGAGACCGGCGACTTCGTCGTGGCCAAGAAGCAGGTCAGCGAGACCCGCGTCAAGCCCAAGGTAAGCCGACTCCTTTTTTCCCAGACCACGCCCCTTAATCCAGCTTTTTAGCCAATCAAGAAGGTCGCGGATGGATCATCCAAGTCGACCAAGTCCGTGCCTCCCCATCCGGTGCCGAAGGTGGAGGCCAGTCGCAAGGCGAGCGCCCCGCGAGCGACGACTACCCCGACCCCAGTGGCTAAGGTGAGACACAAATCTTGGTTCCCAGACGTCGACTAAGTCGTTTTTCTTTCTTTTCTAGGTTGCCCAGGCGGCTCCCGCTGCTACCAAGACTCCACGCAGTGAGTTGGGCAGGGTGGCCGCGACCCTTGGTCGCGAGCGGAGTGTTGCGGCGGCCAAGGCCGAGCTCAAGGCCCAGAAGGCAGAAAAGTCCGTTGCGGCGGCCAAGAAGAAATCTGACTCGGTGAGTCGCGACTTTTCTTGTCGTCGACTTCTTACTGACTTGACTGTTTCTAGACTCCTGCGAAGGCGTCGGCTCCCACGCCCCGAGCTCCGTTCACTCCCGCCGCTTACGACACCGAGGCGCTCCTTTCGGTGGCACGCCAAGGGTTCGCGGGGAAGTTGGAAAGGGCCGGCGTCGAGGTGCCAACTGACTTCGTGCGTTCCTTTATCTTTTTCTGCCATGCCTCGACGACTGATTCCCTTTTCATAGGAGGTCGCGCCAAGGCCCTGCGCGATGTGCGTGACGCGGCAGCGCGTCTGCTTCAAGAGCGTCGACGGGCGCCACGGCAATCGGTGTGCCCCGTGCGTGCTCTATAAACAGACTTGCACCAACGGCTACAAGCCCGCGGAGCAGCTGTATATGGGGCAACGCTTCGGGTACATCGCGCAGATGAGCGCGGACGGTACGAGTCCACTCTTTTTCTTTCATTTTTGTCTATGAGTCCGTCTGACGACTTCTTCAGATCTCAACAAGTCCGCCAACCGTCTTGCCAACACCTTGGACGCGTACGGCGGGCTTCTTCGCACGGCCAACGAGATCCGCGTCCTGGCCATTGGCCAGTTCCGTGATTTCGTTGGTCAGCTGAAGGAGCACTTCGACGACGGCTCGGACGAACGCATCAAGGCAATGTTCGTTCACACCGCGACCGAGATCGACGCCGCCGAGTTGGCCGACATCCGCAAGGGTGTTCGGATGATCTTGGCCCACGGGGACCTGTTGGATGGCGAGGCGAACGAGTGGTTCGCGGCGCCTCCTGCTTTCTTTGATCCGTTTTTCTATCGCGAGATGGAAAAGATGGAGAAGCAGTTCCAGAGGGAGATCGAGAAGGCCCAGGAATTCGACAAGTCGGACCCCGCGACCGTCCAGGATCAAGCGTTCCAACCTCTCGAGGACCACGAGATCGACGTCGCGTACTTGGCGAGTAGTCGTACCTGTGCGCCCTCTTCGTCGCCCCAGCCTTCGCCATCGCCGCCTCCCGTTGCGTCGTCGTCCCAAGCCGTCTTACAGGTCTTGGACTTTTCCGACAACTACAGCGAGACCTCGGCCGAGTCCACCAAGGCCGATTCGGATGAAGACGCGGAGGGTGAAGAAGACGGGTCTGCCGGCAACGAGAACGCCGACGACGGGAAAGTCGACGACGAGAACGTCGGGGACGAGAACGTCGAGGACGAGGGCTCCGTCGCCGCGGGTGAGACTGCCATGGAGGTGGATGAGCAGTAGTTCAGCTCGTTCCACCATCCGTGAACGTCGCGGCCCCAAATTTTTATTTATTACATGCATCATTGTATCGTCGTCGTAGATCAATCCAAGTCTATCATTGCTGCTGCCTGAGTCGTCGTCGCGTGAACCTTTAAGTCGAAATTTTCAAAATTCTTAGAAGAATTTTCTTGAAACATTTTGAAAAGGTCCCGGACCCCGTCCTCAGTAGCGTCATTGGATTTTCCACTTTCCAGCACATGGGTCCAAGGGGTGTGCACGTTGTCGCGCACCTCAATTTCCAATGTGTGGAATTCTGCGGACTCTGTGGCTGATCTTTCGTAAGATCTGCCCTCTCCCAGGAACACAGATCTAAGCCGTCCTCGGCTTATCTGATGCGCGACTAGAAAAGTTTTTCCAGAGTCGACGATATAAAGTCTGGGTGGGCTCGACAGATTATGTCCAGTCCCATTCTCAGTCCTTATTTCGTTCCCATTCTTTCTCTCTATCCAGGCCTCGCTATGTCCGCATTTCCTCTCCCCCAAGACTTTGCATCACTCGTCGCGTCGTGGAAGAAGGCTAAGCCTTCTCTCGCAGCGATGAACAAGCTGGGTCTAGGCGGTTCCGAGGGCATCCTCAGCGTTGGCAAGGATATTTTCTTTGTTCGAGTAAGTTGATTCGTGATGGCGTGTCGCGGCGATTATCTTATCTTGTCGACAGACCCGCTTTCAAGCTAGCTCGTTTGCTGCTCAAGATCCTCCCCGCGACGTTTTGGATTGTCTCGAGGAGGCCACCACGCTCGCTCTGTCTCAGACGGAACTGCTCAAAGAAGTTCCTGAGAAGCAGCGCGACCCTTCCCAGACTAAGGCCGTCAACAAGTATCGAGCCTATCTGGTCTGGCATGAGTCCCTTGTCGCGGCGATTATCAGCATGCGACAGGCTCAGGAGAGCATCCCACGTCCTGCTGCAACTCCGTCGTCGTCTGGGAAGGCCAAGGTATCATTCCCGGGCTTTGTCCAGATTTTCTTACGGATACCGTTGCACAGGCCGAAGACCCTGTTCCTGAGGCTTCAGGCTCAACTCCTGCCATCGACATTGATTCAGACGTCGAGATGGAGGCCCCCACTCCTGTTCAAGAGAAGGTGCGTCCGTCTTGAGTCTTTGCCGAACACAGGTTGATTATTCTCAGACCCCGCGACCATCTACTCGCAAGACCGTCGCTGGACGGTCCGGTTCTCGATTGGTCGACGGATCTGGTCATGACGACTCCGTAGGGCTCGCGGACGTCTATGGGACTATCATTCGACTCATAGACGAGCACGATAGGTCGATGCGTCTTCTCAGCGCCAAAATGTCGAAGCTTCACGCGGAGCAGATGGAGGCTCTAGGGAGCTGTCTCCAGAGTTTCCAGACGTGAGTCCTCACTCAGTCGCGGCGACTACATTTCTGACCAATTACCCAGCCATCGTTCGTTGTCACCGGCTCGAAGAGGCAGCGACTCAGCAACAGTACCACTGATGCGGCCCCGGGTGAGTCTCGCGTTATACTCTCCTGCCGCGACACTTCGCTAACCGATTGGCAGCGTCCGCGTCCGACCGAAGGTTTATTGCGGACCGAGTGCATCGACATCAATTGTACCGGTTGCGGCGGTCCATTCCACTCGAGCTCCTCATCGAGGAACGCGACTACGTCACGTCGCGGCTAGAGGAATGGAAGACCGCGCTCAAGGACGTCAAGGAAGCCATTGACCTCTCGATGTCGAAGAATGCGGCCTAATCTTTCATAATTTGTTCTATATGCACTCTCCTTCCATATGTCTCTTTCTCTCTTGTCACTTATTTATGAAGTCGCGTCTCTTCTTCTCGCGCACCTCCTTTATGACCTTTTTCTTTTAGATACAACCCAGTATAGTCCTTAGGTACCAGCTAGCACCCAAGCAATATACTGAATTCTGTCTAAAACTGAGAGAAGCGACGTCTTGTCGTGCGGGAGCCTGCCGCGACAGTCACTTGCGCGCCAGACTTTCACTCGACAGAAGCTGGATCCTCTACAGGGTCGTCGTCGTCGTCGCTATCCGAGTTCTTGAGTCTCACACCTTCGAACTGGTAGTCGCGGACGTCGGATATTTCCTCTACCAACTCATCGAGCTTAGCAGGTGAGATATCTATCAGCTTCTTTATATCTTCAGAGAGTGTCAACTTCTGTCTTGCCAAATAAGGTATTACTCGGAACGCCGCGACTTTCGCATGGAACATCGCGCCGTTCATCTCACAGACTAAGTAAGAACCCCCTTTGGTCTTTCGAACTACAATCATGGGCCCAAGATATCTAGCTTTCATCTTGTTGTCCAATGATTTTTCAATAGCTGTGTTCCTGACCAACACTAGGTCCCCTGGCACAAACTTGTAATCTTTGATCACATGCTTGTACTCGAGTTCGTAGCGTTGAACCATCTTTAGTTTGGCGTCGCTGACGCGGCTGCGCATATCTTCAATATGGTCGGCGTGTTTCGCGAGAGCGCGTGCCCTGAGACCAACGAGATCCGCAGAGTCGACGATCTGGTCAGGATATTCGACTAGCCACGTAGCTTCGACTATATCCAGAGGGATGGTAGGGTGGGCCCCACATACTGCGAAGTATGGTGAACAACCCAGCCCGCGACGCACTGTAATTCTGTCTGCCCACAAGACTTGTGGGAAGAACCAAAACCATTTGGAGGCGTTTCCCCCTGTAGCTTTGTACAGTGACTGTCAAATGTCCCAATGACCTCTTTCAACAGTGCCATTCGCTTGGGAATTGTAAGGAGATATCCTTATTCCCTTGATACCATATTTCTTTTGTAACCAATTCAACGCCGCGACAAATTGTCCTGCGTTATCGGTTACAATCCACTTAGGACACCCCCAGCGACACACTATGTCTTCGAGTAAGAAACGCGCGATCGCCTTGGCGTTGTCAGCCTGCAGCGGTCGCGCTTCCACGTAGCGGGTCAAAGAATCCCTTGCCGCGACGACATATCTGTATCCGTTGGAAGGCGTTCCCATAATCATGACGTCCGTATGTATCTTTTGAAATACACTTGGAGTCATAGTCGGCGTCGGTGGAGTCCGGAGGAGAGTTTTCTGACGGACTTGGCAGCTATGACAAGTCTTTATCCACCAGTCGACGTCCCTTTCCATCTCTGGCCACCAAAACCGAGTTTCCAACAGGCTCTTAGTGCTGAAAAGACCCTTATGACCCAGCGCGTCGTGACACGCCTTCATCATATAAGTCCTGTGGTGTTTGTCCACGACCAGTCTATGAATCCCATTGGTCGATCTCTTGTACATTTTTCCATCTTTGAGGAAAAACTGTCGCGAGAATTTGAGAAACAATCTGAACCGTTTGTCTGTCATTTCAGGCCTTATAGAAGTGTCTTTCAACCACTTCCTAGCCATTACCAACTTATTGTCCTGTTCAATCCCTGTGCCCGTCCGGTGATCCTCAATATAGGGATCCTCAGGATTGTCGCGCAGTTCAAGATCAGGCAAAAGTGGTTCTCCGTTTGCCACATCGTTCAACATGAAGACTGGGACGACGAGTCCTTGAGCGTCATATGCGTCTTTGACACGCCGATTCTCAGCGCGACGAGAGTCGCAAGCTTCGGCTAGCTCTTTGGATATGTCGTCGACCGACTCAGCACACCCGACCATAGAGTTAAGGTAGCCACCTCTGGTGTCAATATCCCTTTTGAACTCTTCAAAGTCTAATGGTTGTTCTGTGTCGTAGTCCCAATTCTCGTTGTTCTCTGGTGGTGGCTCGTCGAAGATTTCCTCTTCGTCATTGGGATACTCTTCGTCTCCAGGTGCAGGTCGTCGTCGCGACAAGCCATCTGGTGAGAAGGTGATTCCTCTGACATGTTTCAAGGTAAATTGAAACATGAGGATCTCTTCAGCCCAACGGTTGATATTTGCATTTGGTAGGTTACCAACGTTCCTTAGCATGCCTGCCAAGTACAGCGCGTCGGTTTCGACTACCAATTTCCTACAACCAAGAAGCCAGTGAGCCATGGCTTGAAGCACGCGCTTCACACCATAAAGTTCACGCTTCGGTTGAGAAAACCTAGCTTCTCGTTCTGTAAGTGGGATACTCCCAAATTTCGCGTAATAGACTTTCTTTGGGTCATCTGGGTCGCGTTGGTATATTTCGAAACCCGCGGCCATCCAGGATGTGTCTATTGCGACGACAATCTCAGAGTCCCACTCGTAGTTCAGAGGCTTAAGCGACGGACAGACTTGTATCGCGTCTTTAAGTCTTTGAAATGCGAGCTTCTGTTTGTCACCCCATTCAAAATGCGCGTTCTTGTTCACTAGTCTCTGAATTGGTCGCGCCATTTCAGAAAATCCTCTAATGAACATCCGCATGACCCCAATCGTGCCCATGAATTGTCGAACCTCCGAGACGTCTCTCAAGTCTGGCCAACGCATGATTACACCAACTCTGTCCGCGTCAGGTTTTCTACCTTCAAACGAACAGATATGGCCAACCACAGCGAACTCGTCGGCGCAAACCACCGACTTGGTACCAGACAGAGTTGCGCCACAGTAGCCGATTCTGTGCACGACGCGGTTCACATTCTGAAAGTGCTCCCATACGAAGCGACGGATCCCAGGATTTTCTGGAATCGTTTCACAGGTTCCATCGGGTAACAGATACCGGGTTCCAGGTCCTCGAACGGGTACGTCGTCGATGTATGGAATAGTAACATGAGGAATTTCGTCTTTCAAAATGAAAGTAACGTCCTCATGGAATATGGGTACTGAGTTGGTCCATCCTTGTGGGAGTTTGACCAACCTCAGCGCACCGAACGGTGACTGGAATGTAGTCAAGTCGCGACTAGCTGGATCGATGTCACGCTGGTCGTAGCCTGAGTACAAATCTAGCGCAGCACCACAGGCGCGACCGGCGAAGTGGTTTGCTAACTCCTCTGTCGCGGGTGGCAACCCTGAATGTGCAATAGTAATT